GAGCCAGCCTGATCTACAAATCAAGTTCCAGAATAGTTACACATAAAGACTCAGTCCTGAGAAATAAAAAAAAAAAATTTGTGTTCTGATCTGTGCATATACCTCTATCCATCCACCCAAAATGAATAAATAAACAGCTCAGTGGTAGAGTATTTGCCTAGTGTGCTGAGACTGTGGGCTCAATTCTGAGTACTGAGGGAAATAAGATACACAGAAAAAAAAAAGCAAAATTAAATTTTAGCAAATAAGACTTACATTTATTAGGTCAACAATTATTCACTGAATTCACACTGTCCTCAGCTCTGTGCTAAGAGCTATCAGAGGACTGGATGCCACCTGAACATGGACTATCAGACTCTTGGCATTTTTATTCTACACAGGTTTTTAAAAAGCCGATACCCACCCATCATCTCATTTGATGGGAAGAAAATCTGCCTGCATTTGTCTCACCGAGACGCCAAGAAACTGATGTCGCCTGCTGCTGATCATGTCAAGATGTACTTTCTTCATGTCTTGTCATGTAGCCACACGTTCATTTGCTTCAACTTTTATGACCCATGTGGGCTGCTGCCATTCAGAGTCACTTGGATGGTTAGGATTGAAATAGCGGAGCTAATCCTTATTTGGGGTCGGCATTTCCTACGGTTTCTCCTCCCACTCTTCCCTGAAAGGTCTGTGTTAAGGGGCTCCCTGGCAGAGATGGGCCGATCTGAATCTGACACCTGGGTGGGTGGCTAAGCAAACTTTAGGGAAAGGGCGAGTGGCTCAACTGAAGACAGAGGTTCTGTGAATTCAAGAGATGGGCCAATCTGAATCTGACACCTGGGTGGGTGGCTAAGCAAACATTAGGGAAAGGGCGAGTGGCTCAACTGAAGACAGAGGTTCTGTGAATTCAAGACGACATTCACATGGGGAGTGGGGGGGGGAGAACCTTATTGATTATGTGTTAATTTATTTATTGTCTGTGAATGTAGGTGCAGGTGCACTTGTGCACGCACAGAAGTCAGAAGGGGATGTTGGATCCCTTGGAGCTGGAATTCAGAGTTGGTTGCAGGATGACAGGCTTGTGAAGTGGCTGGTGGGATAACAACATTGGTCCTTGTACCTGTGGCAGCAAGTGGTTTTAACTGCTGGGTCATCTCTCCAACCCTTGAAAATACACTATTTAAAGACTTCATTCTTTTTTAAGCATGTGTACATGTGAATCTGTGCTTGCTATATATGTACAGGTACCTTTGGGAGGCCAGAGGGGTCAGATCCCCTGGGACTGGATTAACAGGCACTTGTAAGCCAGTGTGGGTGCTAGGAATTGACTTGGGCCCTGAGGAAGAATAGTATGGCTCCTAACCACTGAACCATCAATCAAGCCCCAAAGATATTTAATGTAGTGTTTAAAGATGGACTGTAAAAACTGACCAGGCATGGTGGTGCATGCCTTTAATCCCAATCTACTCCTGAGGTAGAGGCAGGCAGATCTGGCCTGGAACTCTCTATGTAGACCAAGCTGGCCTTGAACTCATAGAGATCCTCCTGGCTTTGTTTCCTGAGTGCTAGGATTAAAGGCATATGCCATCACACCTGTATTTATTTTATTTATTATTATTATTTTTGAGACAGGGTTTCTTTGTGTGGCCTTGGCTGTTCAGGAACCAGAACTGTAGACCAGGCTGACCTTGAACTCAGAGATCTGTCTTTCTCTTCTTCCCTAGTGCGATCAGGGGAGTGTGCCTCCCCACCCCATGTATTTTTCTTTTTTAAGATTCTATTTATTATGTATACAACATTCTGCTTCCGTGTATATCTGCACACCAGAAGAGGGCACCAGATCTCATAATGGATGGTTGTGAGCCACCATGTGGGTGCTGGGAATTGAACTCAGGACCTCTGGAAGAGCAGTCAGTGCTCTTAACCTCTGAGCCATCTCTCCAGCCCCACCCCCTGTATTTTTTATTATTTTTAATTGTGAATATATGTATGTGTGCACACGGTTTCTATGGAGGCCAGAGTCATTTTATCCCCTGGAAGTAAGCTCTCTGGCATGAGTGCTCGGAACTGAACTTAGGTCCTCTGGAAGAGCTGCCAGTCTCTAAGCCAGTTTTCCTGATGTTTGGTTTTTTTTTTTTTTTTTTGGGGTAAGGTCTTACTATGTAGCACAAGCTGGCCTGCAACTAATTGTGTAGGCTATGTAGCACAAGCTGGCCTGCAACTAATTGTGTAGGCTAATCTGCCTTCAGACCTGTTATCCTCCTGGCTCAGCCTTCTGAACGCTGATAATTTGTTCATTTATTTATTTTGATTTTCGAGACAGGGTTTCTCTGTATTGCTTTGGAGCCTATCCTGGAACTCACTCTGTAGACCAGGCTGGGCTCAAACTCACAGAGAGCCGCCTGCCTCTGCCTCCCGAGTGCTGGGATTAACGTGAGTGTACCATTGATCAGCAACCTTTTTAATTTAAATGTTTATATGTTAATTTATTTATTTATTTGTGTATATATGTATGTCATGCAGACATGGAGGTCAGAGGACAACTTATAGCTGATTCTCTCCTTCTGCCATGTGGGTCCTGGGGACTCTAACTCAGGTTGGCAGGCAGGATGACGAGTACCTTTACTTGCTGAGTCATTTTGCTGGCCCAAGACCTTATTTCTTTGACAATCCCCAGGCACATGTGAAGACGTGGCCATGTCCACTTGGACCCTTCACATCCCTGGTTTACTTATCTGCCTCCACTCTCTTTCCCCTCCTCGGGCTACACTGCAAGATTTTTGCTTCTGTGTTACTTCCTGTTCATCTTCCTATTCTCTATTTGTCTGTCTGTCACACATTTGATCTTAACCAGAAAGGTCACGCGGCCACAGAAGAGTGATCCTGAACTACAATATATAAAATGTCTTAGGGTATTCAGAAGGAAATCCAAACGCACTGAATTTTGGACAGGCAGGGTTGTCCATTATTAGTCACAGTGCATTTGGGACAGCGCAAAGGCCTGGGTGCATTGGCTTAGGATCTTTGGCCTAAGGAGAAAAGTTCAATCCCACAAGGTTAGAGACCATTCTCAACCCATTTTAACATGGAGGTCAGTGCTAGGGCTGGCCTCAGGCACTACAAGACCCAGAGGTACCACTGATAACATCTGATTGTCAGCCCTTCTAGTTTGTTTTTTTCTGTTGCTGGCCTCTTTATCTCTGATTTCAGAAGCATATTCCTTAAGCACCAGAGAGCTTAAGCCTCTAGGTGCACCACAGAAGATGAAATTGAGGGGGCTAGGAAGGCAGCAAAGTACTTGCCTAGTAAAGGTGAAGTCTTTTCGGGACGTGTGTGGGGTTGAAGGTGGTGTTTAACGCCCATCACCCCACATGAACAGCACTTGCGGTTGAAAGGGTGACTCTATTGGTTCAGTCTGAATTAACAATGTAGTTTCATGGAGGCCTTGGGTCATGTGTCCATGCTGGCGATTTTTATGGAAATGGTAAGTAGGTAGACAGGCATAGGCAGGGCCAGTGAAATGAATTCTGGACAAAAAAAAAAAAAAGTTTGGTTGGAATAGACTATCTGGAGACCCATTCTGAGAACTGGGACCAGGTAATCTCAGCACGTGGGAAGTGGAGATAGGAGAGTTCAAGGTCATCCTTCCTGATGTGACTCTAGGACAGTTTAGGGCCACAGGAGAACTATATCTCACAAACAAGCAAGCAAATCACTTCCAAACAAACAGAAAAATTCAAACAAACAAAATCTAACACACAGTTTACAACTACAACTCATACTCAAGAAGCTTTGATGTAACACATTTATTATCCCTAGGTCACACCAGTCTGCTGGTGTTTGGGAAACTGGATAGAACTCGGGGCTAATTTGGGGGTCTTGTTTGTTAAATAGCAAAATTACCTACAACCACAAAAGCCCCAAATGTAGCACTGGACAGAGCATGAAGAAGTTGTTGATTTAGCATCTGAGAGCTGAATAAGCAGCAGCAAAGCTTCTTGTTGGACCTCAGCTGGGAAAACACTGTGTGAGCCTTTTCTGAAATGATCAGGAAAGCCCTCCCTGTGTAGGTTTGGGTTAAAAATACATTTAAAATTTTTTTATTTATTTTTATCTTATATCCATTGGTGTCTTAGTGAGTGTCAGATCCCCTGAAACTGGAGTTACAGACTGCTACGTGGATGCTAGAAATTGAACCCAGGTCCTCTGGAAGAGCAGCCAGTGCTCTTAACCTCTGAGCCATCTCTCCAGCCCCCCACAAACACATTTCAGTTAATAGACAGCTTGAGAAATGCAGAATCTCAATGAATGCATAGCCCCCTCAGTAATTTTTGTATTTTTGAGACAGGCCTGTGTACCCAGTTTAGCCTTGAACACCTGATCCTCCTGCCTCCACTCCCCAGTGCTGGAACTACAGGCATGCACCACCATGCCTGGTTTTTATGTAGTGGTGGGGGTTAAACCTGGGGCTTTGTGAATGCTGGGGAAGCATTTTACCAACTGAACTATGCCTATGCTAGTTCTAGGCTCTGTATATTTATGAGCCCATTTCTTTCTCAATGCCTATGAAGCGATATCTATTTTTTAACTTTCCTTTCTCTCTCTCTCTCTCTCTCTCTCTCTCTCTCTCTCTCTCTTATGGTGGTGAGGATTAGACCCAGGACCTTGAATATTCTAGGCAAGGGCTATACTACCATTGTGCTATTTTCCATCTTCAGTCTTCTTTGTTCTTCTAAATGTGTGTGTGCAGGCATGTATAGCAGCCAGCGGTTGATGTTAGGTGTCTTTTTCAATTCCTCTTCACTTTTTTTTTTCCTTTTAAAACAGGGTCTCACTGGGCCTTGGTGGTGCACGCCTTTAGTCCTAGCACTCAGGAGGCAGAGGCAGGCAGATCTCTGTGAGTTCCAGGCCAGCCTGGTCTACAAGAGCAAGTGCCAGGATAGGCTCCAAAGCTACACAGAGAAACTCTGTCTCGAAAAGCCAAAAAACAAACAAACAAAGGAAACAACAACAACAACAAAACAAAAAAACAAACTAAAAAACAAACAGGGTCTCATTATGTAGCACTGTCTGACCTGGAATTCTCTCTGTAGACCAGGTTTTATTTATTTTTAGGATTTATTTATGTGTATGTTGTGTGTATGTGTGGGGGGTATATGTTTGAGTGTGTGTGTGTGTTGGTCAGAGGGCAGTTCTGTCTGTCTTCCAGGTCAGATTAAACTTAGGTTATCAGCCTGGGATACAAAACTTACCCATTGAGACATTTGGCAGACCCTTATTCTTCATTATTTCATGCATAAAAAAAGGTCAGATTAAACTTAGGTCATCAGCTTGGGATGCAAAACTTACCCATTGAGACATTTGGCAGACCCTTATTCTTCATTATTTCATGCATAAAAAAACTGCTGCTTTTGCTAGCCTCAACCACCAGAAATTTATTATTTATTTATTTATTTATTTATGAGGAATGTGCCATTTTCTCTAATGACTATTAAATAAGTTGGTAGGAGAAACAGACCAAGTTG